CCTTGCTCTCCCAACCCCCTTTCCTATCTTTCTGGTGATTTCAGTTCTGCATCTGAAGTCCAGGGCTGGCACCCATCGGTTTCATCTGCTCTCCTGATTTTCTCCTCCATATCCCATACGAACAAGACCAGACAGTATTGTTTCTTTCTCTTTTGGACTTATTTCACTTCACATCAACCCTACGGTTTCATCCATGTTGTCACAAAGGTAAGATTTAATCTTTTGCATAATTGTACAGAGTTCCTGATGCATATAGGACACATTTCCATCTACCCATCTGCCACTGGGTACATAGGTTGTTTCCAGATCTGGGGCATTGTAACTAGGGATGCAAAACACATGCACAGAAACACTTCATTTGAAAAAGTTTAGTTCATGGGCATTTGAGAAGGCCTAGAGCTCCAGGTTTCTCCTTGGACTAACCAGGTATCCACAGTGCATTTTTCTCTTCAAACAGGGTAAGTCAAGCTCACCCCTTAGAAGGCCCAGGAGGACCCTTGGCTTCCTTGACTCCTGCACCCCAGTGATCAAGTGACTGCAGATAACCATAGCAAGTACATATATGGGACTCCTTCCCCCTTCCAAGAGCACTCTGCTCCATACTCAAAATCCAGTTTCTGCTCCCCTGGACTCTTCACCTTCCTGACTCCCAACAAGGAGTTAATCCCCCACCACTCCTCCAGTTTCAGTCTCAAGTACTTCTACTGTGAAGTGTATTCTCAGCAGTCTCCTCTACTTGACTTTGAAGGAGTGAGTGACTTGAGAGTGAGCAGGTTTTTTTCCATCGTTTTCTTTGGCTGAAAACCCAGCATAGAGATCAAGTCGATGGAGGTGTCCAACAATGGCAGGGCAGGAGCAGCAGAGGCAAAGCAAGAAGGAACCGAGCTCTTAGTTAAGATAGCTCCAATGGTAGACAGGTCCTTGACAATTGTGTCCATTTCTTCTCCCCTACAACAGGTACAACACCTTTCTTATACCCCTCTCCCCTCCCCACCACACACGCTTAGGAGGCACAGGGGAAACTCAAATGAGAAAACAAAAGTCAATTTCCCCAAGAGGTATTATAATTACCAAAGTAAACAGTTCATCAATTTGGCCTTAGGTTTCAATCCAGAGTTGATGCAGCCAACCTGGAAGCAACTGGACTGTAGAACAGGTGCAGCTCAGTAAGCAGGCCTCTCCTTATACTTAACCTCATACAGGAGGACCAGAAAGTGGCCAGAAAGAACACTGAGCTCTGGCTGAAACGCTCTCTAACCAAAGACAACACCATGCTGCATTGTGTGCATCCCTACCACTGAGAACTCCTTATATTCAAAGTCATATAGCCCATTATACTGCTTATCAGATTGCGTTGGAGGCAATAAATGACAGTGGGGAGAATGATTACTCTCCATCTGGCCTGGGGGACAACCTGACCACCGCATGCTTTTGCAAAATGATAGCTCACTTTGCCTCTGTTTCCAAACAAATTAACTTCCATGCTAAGGTGCTTGCCTCTGAGTTGGCAGATGGCTGAACCACATGAGATGTGTGAGGGTAAATGTGTACCCTCTGTTGTGTGCCACTGTTCATGGGACTCAACACTTTAAAACTCAAATGTTTTCATGTGATTCTTTAGTACTCACATCTTACTTCAAAGCAAAAAATATTTAAGAATGAAAGTGTCCCAAGACCCACACTGCCACTATCACTTTATCTTGATATCTGTTTCTTTTTCAATTGCCTGAGGAGCAGAGTCAATATCAGCACTTAAAAGGTCAAGAGACAGCCAACCTGGTTTGATTCCAAGCACTACCTATGGTACCCCGAGCATCATCAGGACTGATACCTGAAGACAGGGCCAGGAGTAAGCCCTGAGAAGCTAGGTGTGACCCCCCAAAACAAACAAAAATACTCATGAGGACTTAAAGGTTTATGGAATGGAGTGAACAGAGGTTGTAAGACACTTGGAAATAGATGAGAATTGTATGAATAAAGTCAAATTCTAATAAGTGACTACTGAAACATTGGCCTATCTCCTGCTTTAACCCTTAATCTGGATACTTGAAGCTGTGCTTCAAGACATTTTTTACCTGAAGAAATTATAGGCAAATGAAGAAAAAAATAACTTACTAATAAGTACAGTTACAAGGGAAGTGACTTAACAGACAACTTGTGCATCAAAAACACTGAATAAGCACAAAATACTAACAATTTCCAGTAAAAGTATTCAAGGTAAAGTGGATTTCCCTATAGAGCAGAAAAAAAACAGGTCATACCTTGAGCTGTGCCTGAGTCCCTTCCAAACACCCTGGGCAGCTGTGAGTGGAGGCGCTTGCCTTGCACGCAGTCAACCCTGGTTCCATCCCTGGCATCACATACCATCCCTGAGCATGGCTGGGAGTAAGTCCTGAGCACCACAGGTGTGGCCACAAACTCAAAAAATAAACATCTCACCCTCCTGTCCACTTGACTTTCTTTACACAGATTAACCTTCCTCTTCACAGCTGCCCCAGCTGATATTTTTTCCTCTTTCCCAAGAGATCATTTAAGGCTTGGAAAGAATGATTTGTCTAGATAGGCATTTCCCAAAGTAGGAGATGCAGAGAGATGGGAGAGTGGAGCAGTAACAGCCGTGGGCAAAGTGGAGTGCTTCTGTTTGTTTGCTTAAAGAAAGTGGATTCCAGGAGATACTGGGTGATTTTTTTTTCTGGAAAGGGATAACCTAAGCCAGTTGGAAGCTTGTGTACTGGAACCGTGTTCTTCAATTTTTGTACCCTGTCATGGCAGCTTTCGGGCAGTTGCGGCCTTGGCAGTAAACCATTGGTTTTCCACCTTTCTATACCCATAGGCCAGCACAGCTCTGGAACCAGTGGTTGATGACCATTGGTCTACATCAATTTTTTTTCAGCTCTGGTCCCCTTCTGACTTTGCTTCTCTCCAATGCCCCCATCCTACCTGTTGTCCCCCTAGTCGGGTGCCGCATCTTCCCCCTCATTCATGCACTTTCAACTGTGTCCTCTTTGCAGTGTCCTGGGGACACACAGGGGGAAATATGGTGTCTAGTCCTGATAAATGCTGTCTAAATAATTATTCCTAGCAGGTTATTCAACTGGAATTTCAAACAGTCCACCTGATGCAATGTTTGCACACTTACTTCATGCTGCTTCCAAATACAATGTGTCACTGAACCCAGAGGAAGTAAGAATTCTTCAAGGTTTTAGTGCTTCTTAGGATTGTGCAGGACAAGTGAGAGCAAAGAGGCAGCAAGACTGGAGGACCAGATCAAGGGATGCTGGAAACAGGGACATAGGTGGGAAACTTTGCTATTATATGGGAAATGTCACTATTCTCTCAGAAGAGTTGAGAATTCCATGTTTGGGCACAGCTCTTTGATGTGACTCTCCTTAGGGCTGTTGTACACAGACTGTTCTTTACAATGTGAAGCCTTGTGGTCATCTAGGGACCAAGTCATCAGTGTTCTTCCAAGGGCTCTGAAGTGAACATTATGGACAACAAAGTGTTTTTATTAAGGTTTTTCCACTGCTTTCTAAAGGCATTTGCCACTGAACATGTAATAGACAATGACATCATGTAAGTACCCCTTTTATGCGCATGGGGGTGGGAGGGAGGGGGGTCAAAATTTTTTTCTGACTCGCTTTATTGCAATACTGGTTTTATGGTGGCAGCCTGGGAGTCTGTGACCTCTCAGGCTGCCTGTGTATCTATTTGAAGATCCTTTTCAAAACTGAAGGCAGAAGGGGAAAAGCATCTATATGAGGCTGCATTTAAGTGAGCAAAGAGTCCTTTCTTTGCAAAACCCTCAGCAAAATGTGACTAAAAGAGTCTGCATGTGTTTCCATGGGAGGATTAGGGGATGGGGGCCTAAGGCAAGAGAAAGTAAGAGGAAAGGTATGAGATTATTTTCTATAGTTCCTAGGAACCTATTTTCTATAGGTTCCAACCAACAATAATTTCTTCCTTGAAGCTATAATTCCAACTCATGTAAGTAAAACAAAGGCACACAGAAGAGAGAGCTATGTTCCCAAATGACTCAGTTTCTATCCACTGAACGTCAAATTAGGTAAGAAAAGCAAGTTCTCTTGGAAAATAAACATGTCTACAGTTGAAATATCTTCAGCAACCAGACAGATCTCTCCTTGAAAAAAAATCTAGGATGTTCTTCTAGACCAAGGTTCTCAGTTTGCCCTGCAGACTCTTTTCTTCAAAGTAACTACCACAATATCACCATCTTCAAGGAACCTAACAAGGACTTTTTAAATCACTTTGGAATTCACCTTTGAAACAAAAGGTTTTCATAAGGATACTGCTCTGCTATTAAAGAGTCCCTTAAAACTAAATTGGTTTTTATTCCAATAATCTATTGTTTCCATGTCATAGTAGAATGTGAAAAATGTTCTACTTTTAGAACATCAGTATGGGACCTTTCCAATGAGCCTTAGAGGGCAACAATCACTTTACCCTAAATATCTAAACAAGGCAGTTAGCAGAGGGATAGACAGTAATCAACTGTTACTTGTTAACCATAAAGGATGCTTGGCTCAAGGCAAATCGTCCTGTGACAGCATGGACATGAAGCCACAAACCTCCCTCCCCACCTCCTCTGCTTCCTGCACAGAGCATACCCCATGACACAGTCAGCAACAACCATGTAACCAAAAGGGTCCTCAGCAGGTAACCCCATGTCCATATCCAGTCCACTGGTTGGTCTGTGACAAAACAAAGAGAAAGCAAAGGAGACCACAGAAAGGCAATGTAGACAGCAAGAGAAAAGATGAAACAGTGGAGGGGGTCGGGCGGGAAGAGGGATGGAATGGAAAAACGTGGCAGAAGAAGTACACACAGGAGGCAAGAAGAGTGGAAGCCAGAGTTTCCCCTAAAGGAGCAAAGAGAAATACGGCCCCAAACCCCCAGGACTGAGCTAAATGGTCCCCTGCGCTCACTCCTTGCATCAGCAGGTTGGAAATAGAGTGGCAGTGGCTCCCTGGAGCCATTACCTGGATAAGCTCATCCAGCTCTGTTGAATTGACACAAGCATGTTGGGAAATGAAGGTCTGTTTCTGGATAACGATGGTCGTCCTCTGGGAACTCTCATGAGGCTGCTCCAGAGCTTTGAACACCGTAGCGCCGATGATGAGGTAGAGGACCACCACCAGAAAAATCGTGGAGACCGTCTTCCATTTCATCACATTAATGGCTGTGTCACTCTCCACCCGGGAAGCAAGCACTGTGGGTTTTGTGGAAAATGAGAGCCTTGGTTTGGAGTTCTGAGCTGCAGATTTAGGATCCAGCAAATCTGGTGCCGCCACTGGGAAGGACAGAGGAGAAGGATTAGACTGAAAGGATGCCGGGTCAGGCAAGAGTGAACAGAGTTTCTGCCTAGAATCTGATTATAAAAGGGCTCCAGAAGGGGCTGGGTCTCAACTCTAGGCTGCTACTGGGGTTCCACATGGGAGGAAAGAATCATGAGGTGGAGTTGGACACTCAAGCCAATGAAAAAAGTGCCTGAGCTCATCCTAAACAATTTCTCCAATTTTACCTATCCAGCATATCATTAACCAAGACTTTGTTTAGTCTTCAGTTTCAACAGTCCCCAAACTAGACAGTCATATAATAAAAGTAGTGAGCTGATCCTTGTTCTCAAGAACATAATAAGTAAAGTAAGTAAAGTAAAGGCCCTCCCGTTGATCATCGATTTGCTCGAGCGGGCCCAGTAACGTCTCCATTGGAGACTTTGTTGTTACTGTGTCTGGCATATCGAGTACGTCACGGGGAGCTTGCCAGGCTCTGCCGTGCGGGTGAGATACTCTCGGTAGCTTGCCGGGCTCTCCGAGAGGGGTGGAGGAATCAAACTTGGGTCGACCATGTTGGCTGCGTGCAAGGCAAACGCCCTACCGCTCTGCTATCATTTCTATAAGCATCGCCTCAAAGAACATTATTTCTAATTATAAAACTTCATCAAGTAAAGGAACTGTATTACAAGCAAACTTGTGATCTGAAACTGGTTCAAAGGAAAATATGGTTCTTTTTTTTTGCCAAAGATAAATAAACTGCTTGAGTGTCCTGACATTTCTCTTTACTCCTTCTCCAAAACGAACCAGAATTAAGCATTCTTCAAGGTCCCTTATTTAATCTCTGATGTTTAGAAAGAAGCAAAAGTATCACTCGCTACCCATGTTGGCACAGCCCTTTGCAGCTTCCTATGGCACATTTTCCATTTCAACAATGACTGTTACTAAGAAAAATACAATTAAAATTTCGTCTCACACCTTAGACCTCACATGCTCAGTATAAAGCTAAGTGCTCCATTAGGCCAAGTTTGTGTGTCTCTAACAAATTCCCCTGGACTCCAAGGTGGCTCTGATCCATTTATTATTCATCTCAGCTACTCAAAAATATCATTAATGGATCTTCTTTTAGAAAATACTAGCATTATGAACTTTCCAAATCATTTGCTAGCAGAATATTTCAGTGGAAGGGAAGTATGGAACCAAAAGGGTTAAGAGAATGGCTGAAAAATACAATATGGGACTTTATAAAAATAAGCAAAAAGCACCAGCTCAACCAGAACTCTGGATCTAAGTCCATAATGAGAACCTGGTTGTAGCCTACAGCACACATACAGGATTGATACATTCATAACCCAAATGAAAAGACACTGTGGAATAAATAATAAGAAATCTCTATGAATTTCACCCAACACCAGACAGACAGCTGAAAACATCTGAGGATGAGAAGGGAATGAAAAAGATCAGTTCTCAGTGGGATCGATCCATATCCTTATCCCACCAATGTGAGTTTCACGTGTGACTATTGCTGTGGGGGTTACTCCTGAAATCTGCAGAGGTACAGCTACTGGAAGCATCAGACTTGAGAGCTGCAAAATGATGGCAGATAAGCCAGAACACGCAACCAGCAAAGCTCCAAGTGCTTTAACTTGGAAGAGATGGAGTCAGAAGCATGAGGAGGTTAACTACCTGTGGCTCCAAGCTGGTTCCACACACAGGCTTCTTCTGAGGATTCAACCTGCTACCTTACACCAACATACCAACAGCTTTGCGCATGCCCCCGCCATCCCCTCCACCCTGTCTTCTGCTTCCTAAAAAATTACAACCCTACAGCACCGTTTTCTAGTGTTTTCATTTTTTTCAAAAAAAATCTGATGACAGTTAAATTCACTGTCCTTGACTGTCTACCCTCTGCCCCCGCTTAGTAAGTGTGAATAAAAAATAAAAGTCATAATCTAAAATTAAGCCATCTCTCCATCTTGGGCATAAAAATAACAGAAAATCACACAGAAGCTCCTGGTTCTCCCTCTAAGGGAGGTTTTCCAAGCGTCTGCTACCCGTTCCCCTGTGCTCACAAATTTCTGATTCTGCACCTCAGTGTTCTACGGTCTACAGAATTGAAAAACACCCAAATTGTTTACCGAGGGGCGCCCTAGTCCCCAGGCCGTTTCCTGTGCTCACAAATTTCTGATTCTGCACCTCAGTGTTCTACGGTCTACAGAATCGAAAAACACCCAAATTGTTTACCGAGGGGCGCCCCAGTCCCCAGGCCGGTTTAAGGTGTTATCATGTTATGCCTTTGGGAGGAGAGGACGTGGATTCATCTATAAATGCCTACATAGATTCTTTCTGCATTCAACACAGCACTGTCTGATTCCGAGTGGGTTTGCTTGCTTCTAAGCTTTTTGCCTTATTTTTCAGTTCGCAGAAATCTGTCTATTGCACGCTCGAGGCAGAGGCAGAAGAGGCAGAAAACCTGTGAAGTCGCTGCAATTCACCAACGAGACAGCCTCTGCGTGGGGAGGGACGCGGGGCAGCTCGGGCTCACCAGCTGCAGGTCTCTGTCGCTGGCCGAGCGTGACTGACTGGTCCACCTCCTTAGCCAGGGAACCCGGCTCGCCCGTGCCACACGCGCCCTGCACGTCTCGGCCGCCTCGGAACCCCTCACCCGCGGCCCCGCATCTGGCCGCGCCTGCCCTGCCTGGCCGCAGGCACCGTCTCGGTTCAGCACCACCGCGCGTCCCGCCAGCCGCGCAACGGGCAACAAGTGTGACCCGGGCACCCGGCGCCCTGCCCGCGGGTCACTGCCGGGAGCGGACCCCGGGAAACGGCCGCCCCCCTCCTATCCCGAACAGCCAAAGCCCTCCGCCCCCGCGAGCAGGGGACAGCAGCGGGGAGCGCAGCGCTTCGCCTCGCAATGGGGCTGGCCAGCACCCCGCGGGCGCCGCGAGGGGCCACGGTCGGGACGTCAGCTTGGAGCGCGGCGGGGGGCACGGGTCTCGCCTCGGGCCCCAGTCGGTGAGGGGGAGGGGGGGTTCCCCGCTGGGCGCGGGATGGCAGGAGCCCCGTCCCCGCCCGCCCCTCGGCACGCATCCGGGATAGAGCCCCCAGCAGGCCATTGTACTCACTTCTTATGCCGAGTCGGGCTGCGAGCTCCGAGCTGCAGCTCCGGGCATTTTCCCCGGCTTTGTTTTCCAAGGTGGGGAGCACGGGGCTGGACGCGGGAGGGGGTGCGGGGGGGCAGCGCGGAGCCACGGAATCGCGGGAAGGAGGGGACAGCGGCGGGCTGGGCCCAGGGCGAAGCCAAGGCCAAGTTGGGCTCCGGCGCCGCCGCCCCCGCGCGCGCCCGCGGCCCGCCCGGGTCCCCCCCGACAGCGCGGGCGCCCGGGGTCCAGCGCCCACCGCCAGCCGCCACCGCCGCCGCCGCCGCCGCCGCCGCCGCCGCCGCCGCCGCGCGCGCTCCGCCCCGGGCTCGGCGCTGGCCCGGCCCCGGGGGGCGCGGCGCGGGGGCGCTGGGTGCAGCCGGAGCAGCCGTGCGCCCCGCGTCTTTGTGCGCGCGCCGAGCTCGGCGCCGCTCCGCATGTCTTTGTGCGTCTCCCCGGGCTCGGCCCCCCGCGCCCATAGCAGGGGGGTGCGCAGTCCTGGGGAGCCTCGGGTGCCTCTCCCGGCCCGGCTCGCCCGCTCCTTTCGCCGCTTTCGGAGCTCGCCGCCTCCCCTCCCGCCCCCCGCCCCCCTCCAGCGCTCCCGGGACGCGCCTCTCCGCACCCCGCCCCACCCTCCCTCGCGACGCCCTGACCGCTGGGTCCCCTCCGAAGCGCCTCACGACCGGTACCCAGCCGGGGCTCACCTGCCGAGGCCGCCGGCTTTGCTCCGGACGCGCGCCGGACCCCCCCTCGTCAGAGCGTCCCCGCAGCTCCCGGTCCTGGTCGGAGGGCGCCCGGCGGGACCCAGCCCAGGGCCCCGCACGCGTGTCCTCGCGTCTCCGTGCTGCCGCCGCCGCCCGCAGAAGGGTCCAGAGAAGAGCCCCCTTGGGCGCCCTGAGACGCAGAGTGGGAGGCGGGGTGCTTGCCATTTCGAGTCGGGGATGGAGTCCCCAACGCCCTCAGGCCCCATCTCTTAGGGTGCTGGCGCTGGTCAACAGGACCCTAAGCAGGGGCTCGCGCCAGGAGTCAGGAGGCAGTAAAGGAGGATCCAAAAATGTCACAAAAATAAAAAGGGAGCTGAGGTTCTCTTCTTTGGGACTCAGACCCCTTTGCTGGGTGCTGAGACTGTTTATAGTGACCATCTGGGGTAAGAGCGGTCCTCTGATCAATGACCACCGTATGAACCTGGGCCTGCAGCGCACCAGGCCAGGGACAGGTAGGACCAAGTCCGAGGTGGGTGGAACGGAGCTAGAGGAGCCAGGAGCTCCGAGCCTGCCGCCCTTCTGGGAGCAGTGGCAGAACTGCCCCACGGGCTCTCCCACCTTCACCCCTTCCTGCCCACTTTCCTCAGCCCTGTGTGGAAGGAATCTTCCAGAAATGCTGCTCCAAGTGTTTCCCTTGTGTCAACAACTTCCCAGAACAGCCCAAGACGGCCGGGGTACAGGGTGGGGGTGGGGGCGGGATCCTGGTAGTCAAGGGTACCTGTCACCCTTTTCTATCAGAGTCTGACCCTGGTCAAGAGGCCGGCGGAGTTGGAGATCCCAGGGCCATCTGTGTGTCCCCGATATGAAAAGGACGTTCCTTATTAGGAATTCCTTCCTACTGGACTGGAAACATGTTTTTCTCGACTTCTGCTCTCAATAGTAATCTAATCGGATATCCTTTATAAAATGTGAATCAGATCTTCTTCCTCCTTCTTTTAGCCTTCTCAAACTCCCCAGGTTACATAAGATGCGCCTCTGCTCATTCCAGACCCCTCCAGGAGGCACTCTCCAGCCGCCCACCTTCCTCCATCCTGCCCCAGCTTCCCAGGGTCCAGGGGAGATGGAGGGGCATGAATGTGTTGGGGCGGGGGGATGTGAATGGTTGTGTGTGTATGTGTGTGTGGAGAGAGAGAGAGAGAGAGAGAGAGAGAGAGAGATCTGGGTTGGAGAAACTGGATCACAGGATGAAGGGGGCTGGCATGTCCATCTGAACTCCCCCAGGAGCTTTGTCTGGCAGACTGGAAATTCAGAGCAGAGCTGCTGTTTCCATCTTAAATGATCTTTTTTTCTGGGAAGCTGAAGTTTCTGTTCATATTCCCTTCGCCTGATTATAGGAGGTTCACCTACAGTATCTCCTGAAATCCAGAATTATAGATGACAACTATCTCTCCACAATGGTTATGGTGTCTAAGTAAATAACGGCACCACCATCTCGTTCAGCTGACAGGAACTCTGTTGTGAGAAAGTTGTGGTACCAAGTTAGCCTCATGTTCTGTAGGCTATGTTTAAATTAAATCCAACCTTTTTCACTTTTCAATATGGAAGCTATTGTCTTTTTAGGTTTGCATTTTGACTCTGCACACCTAATGTGAAATGTCCCTCTCTACTCACTGACAGAAAGTTTTCTGTTTCCACCACCAACTTTGCTCCTAGTCCCGTGCCCCCAGGTAACCTTAATTCTATTGTCAATGTCCACTGACTTGTCTTTTGTTTACTTTGTTTGGTTCAATTTTATTTTCTAATCTTTTACAATATAGGTGACATCATGTATGCTTGTCTTTATCCCTCTGACTGACTCCACTTTGCCTAATCACCTTATATTCCTTCCATTTTGCAGCAAATGTTAAAATCTCTATGTCCATTCTAGCTGTAAAGGATTGTTGTAGAAATAAACCATATCTTCTTTCCCATCATTTGTGGATGACCTCTGTGCTTACTTCCATATTTTAGCTGTTGTACAAAAAACGATGAACTTCGGTGGTGGCTGTGTCTCCCTACATGGATGCTTTTGTTGTCTTTGCCTGGGCGCCTACTGGACTAGATGGGCCGTAGTTTCTTAAGGAAGTTCCATATTGTTTTACAGAATTGCCACATGAATTTCCATCTCCCTTTTTCAGGTCTTCTTGTCTAGAGGCTCCTTTTCAATTCTGGCTGCCCAGGTGTCTTGCTGTCTGCTACTGTCACACTGTATTGTGCTTCTTAGGCTGGAAACTCCCTGAGAGAGGCTATCCACCAGGTGCCCTGAGATGAACCCAGAGTCCGCCCACAGCAGGTTCTCTCTGTTCCCCACATATCCACCAGGTGCCCTCAGAAAAGCCCAGAGTTTTCCCATAGCAGTGATTCTCAGCCTTTCCCTGACTCTGACCCCTTCCCTTCCAGTCTCCTTTCCTTCTTGTGTCCTCCTTGCCCTACCAGGTGCTTCCTTAGTCCCACTGGAACAGTTTACATCTGTACATCTGTCACTGCCTTCGAATATTCTTATGGCTAAGAACCACTGCACTATAGGGTCCTATGGCATCTTCTCAGCACCGTGGTTTGCTTGTTGCATCTTGTGGATCATCATAGAAGCTGGTAGAAACTTGCCAGTATCCATCAAGCCTAGAGTCCTCACGATTCTCTGTAGCATTCCCCAGGCAACTCCTTGTCCCCCTATACAATCTCCATAACATCCCCATGGAAACCCGATGGTTTCTAGGTTCTAGAGAGGTGCCAGAACATAGGAGGTCTTCCTGCCATCATCCACCTTCACTTCCTCCAGTATCAGGAACCAGATTTTAGGGGTGGGGGACAGGAAATGAACTAAATGCACCCCTCTCAATCACCCACCGTCATTTTGTCTAGATGAAATGACCCAAACACTTTGACTTGTATATCCCTCCCCCCTTTCCTACAACTCGGAGATTCTTTTTTGTTCCCTCTTGGGTTTTGGCAAATCTAATAACACCTGGCCAAGCTCCAGTTCTCTGTACCCCACTGAGGCTTGGGCTGCAGTTGGGGTGGGAGCAAACTCCTCAGTTTGCTTTCCTGTTTTGCTTTTGCAGCTCAGATAAAGAAGGGAGCACCAAATAAAGGGGGTTGGGAGCATTCAGGATGGAAAATGCATGCTGAAAGTAGACTATAGACCGAATATGATTGCCACTCAATGTCTCTTTTGAAAAACACAGCACCCAAAAGAAGAGAGAGAACAAAAGGGAATGCCCTGCCACAGAGGCAGGGTGGCATGGGGGGAAGGGAGGATGGGAGGGATACTGGGATCCGTGGTGGTGGAAAATGGGCACTGGTAGAGGGATGGGTACTTGATTATTGTATAACTTAAACTCAAGCACAAAAATTTGTAAGTCTACAACTCTACCTCATGGTGTTTCACTAATAAAAATTAAAAATAAAAAAATAAAAAAATAAACTGCCTATTCAGGCAATTTCTTTTCCCACTGTCAGAGAACGCAGTATCACCTTGGTGCCAAATAATCCCTTCTCTCTATCAGATTGGGGCTTCTCTGCTTTATCATCTGGAACCTTCTCCCAGAATACACAAAGATGGGAAGCACAGGGGGGCAGCATGGGTGGGAAGGCATTACTTTGCAAAGAGCCTCAAACAGATTCTTTTAAAGTTCCTGAACTGCACCTTGACTCACTCACTGTCCACACCCCCGTCATTTAAACACTCGGCCTCTCTAAGAGTCTTCTTGAGCCAAAGTCAGCTCCTTAGTTCTCATGTTTGAAGTCAGAGGGTAAAGGGAAGTAGCTCGTTTGTATACCATTGCAACTAGAGAAACAAGGAAACAGCCAAGTTTATCCTGTTTAATTTTATGCCCACTAAGACATCTGATTCCCTCCAGAGTGGAGCCTCAGCACTCAGAAGTCTTCTTTTGCCACAGGACTCTGAGAAGCCCCTGAACTTGAAAGAAATGGGAGAAAACCTCAACGACTTAAAAGGGTGAGCTCTTCCCCCCCTCCGAAGCCTTCCTTTGGCTCTCTACACCCTTCTGCTCTGCCAAACAGCACAAAGTCCACAGGTGGACTGACACCTTCACTTTGCTCTTGGCCTTGGCTGACTTGAAATGTCATGTTTGAAAGAATAACACAATAAAAATTTATGCCACTGCAACTCCCATCAGACTCACACTGTGGGGGTCCAAGTGGCTACCAAGAGCTCCCAAATCTCCCAGGTCTGTTCCTCATGAGCAAGTGAGCACCCCTTTTCTGGATTGTCAGTCTCTGGCACCACAGCAGGGATGCATCTGCTGAGCTCACAGGAGGTGGGAAAACAAAATTGAGGTCATTCAGCCTTGGCAGGTCCTCAAAAGAAGTTGACTCTCAGCAAGACCACCGGCTCTGTCAGACAACTTGCCATGGATTTAGTTCCCTAAGGAACACAAGTGCATGGTGGACCAGGACAGGGAATGAATCATGTGCCTCGGTACTTATTGGCTGCTAGCTGCTAGATGCAACAGACACTCAGCAAGAATGATCACTGCCTTCCGTCACTTGGTGGTC